GCCTTCATTGCCCCCCTGCTGCCGTGTCTGTGTTCTCTCTTATGAGGGCACCAGCTGTTGGACTCAGGGCCACTCTACTCTGTGAGCTCATCTCAACTAACGATGTCTGCCAAGACCCTGTTCCCACAGACGGTCACCTTCACAGGTGTAGAGGTTGGGAAAAGGACATGTTTTTCAGGGGGACAGGCAGTACACCACACCTCCCCAGTGTGACAACCCCAGATGTCTTCAGACATGTCCCCCGCGTGCAGTCATCTGGCTGAAAACCATCTGCAGTGGGTGTAGGTGGGGGTGGGTGGGGGCGCTGGACCCAACAGTTCTCTCAACCCTGCTCTGAGTGTAACAGTTCTCGTGGAAACTTGGAATGAAACACTGTCACAGGGAGGTGGGGACAGGGAGTCTGGGAGGTGACATGGCCCCACCACCATTCCTGAGGCCAGGTGTTGGCACCTCTGGGCTTCATGTGACTATTTGGCGTACCTCAAAACCTTCTGTAATGAAAAAATGTATCTTTTTACTTAAAGGAAGCCCTTTGAGATTCATTTGGAGATGTCTGCAGATGGAAACAGCATAAAATGCCCCAGGGTGGGGAGTCGGAGGGCGTGGAGGGGACAAGACGGCAGGGTTAGCGCAGGGGCTGCGGGGGGGGGGGACCCTGGGGGGCTGCGTTACCTTCTCTTTACTTTTGCATATTTTAAAATTACATATATATATATATATATATATATATTTAATTATTTTATTGGTTTTCTTTTCCCCTTTGTTTTTTATAGAGGGACTGGGGATTGAACCTAGGCCCCTGCGCATGCTAAGCGCGCGCTCTACCACTTGAGGTATACCTCCCTCTGTTTTTTAGTTTTTAAATGTGTGGAGGCCACACTGATGAAGACAGCCGCTTCCTGGGGGCCTGGTGCTGTCTGGCCACGTGTGGGCAGCAAGGCTCAGCAGGGGCCCGGGTCTGAGTTTGGCCTCCCCGCACCCCTCCAGTGTTGCCCAATGTGGGATGGCATTGAGGCCTCCTCTGCAGTCACATTTTGAGAGAATAAGAAATAGTTGGGGGCGATGGTATGGCTGCATTGGTAAAATGCTTGCTTAGCATGCATGAGGTCCTGGGTTCAATCCCCACTACCTCCGTCAAAAAAATGAAAGTAAATAAACCTAATTTACCTCCTCACCACCAAAAAAAAAAGAAAGTCAAAGGAAGGAACTTTATTGCCAAAGAATATACGCCTTTCCTGCATAATTTCCATTTTTCAGTCTTCTCTGGCTAAGAAAACGGCGTGTGCGGGGAGGTGGCAGGGAGGGCGCGGCTGAGCGGTAGGGTGCGCGCTCAGCGCGCAAGAGGTCCCGGGCTCGGCCCCATTAAAAACCAACCAACTAGCCGGCCTAAGCACTCCTGCCCAGAAGGCGGACGAACAAATTAGCAGGTGCCCTAGAAGCCGCTGGAGGATCGGCTGGAGGCCACTTCTGTGAATCAGGTTGGGTGTTTTGAGATAAAATTTACACGCCAGCAAAGGCACCTGTTTCCACTGCCCCGTGGGTGAGCGCCACTTGCCCAATAAACACTGCTGGGCCCCAGCCTCGCGGAGTCCCCTGCCCCTTTGCTGTGCGCCCACCCCTCTCTGGTCCCCTCTGGTCACCGTGGACCAGCTGTGCCTTTTCTAGGGTTTTAGGTACATAGAATTGCTTTGATTTCTCTCTTGGGGTACGTTTGTTGCACTTGGCCTAAGCTAATTTTTGTCCCTCTTTATTTTTTAATGGAGGTACTGGGGACTGAACCCAGGAACTCGTGCGTGCTAAGCACGTGCTCTACCACTGAGCTCTACCTTCCCCCCAGTTTCTGTCCTTTTTTAGAGAGTCCCCAACAGGTGACTATGTATCCATCCTCCTTCACAGCCCCCTGGGCCCTCTCTCTCCCCAAGGCAGCCTCTCTCCAAGCTGGCTCCCCACACCTCTCGGGCTGGCCGGGATCTGTGCACAGATATCGGGTTCCCTGAGCCTCTTAAATTGTCTTTTTTTTTTAACTGAGATATCACGCACGTTGAAATTTACCCTTTAAAAGTAGACAATTTAGTGGTTTTTAGTAAACCTGAAAGCTGTGCAAGCATCACTGCTATCAATGCTAGAACGCTGCCATCAGCCAAGAAAAGGAGCCCGGCCCCCACAGCCCCAGCCCCGGCCGCCGTCCATCTAGGGCTCCCTGCCTGTCATGTGTCGCACGTGGGAGCCACACAGGGTGTGGCCGCCTCAGTCCGGGTTCCAGAGAAACAGAGCCAACAGCACGCAGTTGGATGTGCTCGAGAGGTTTACTGTGGGAAGTGGCTCTCGTGCTGACGGAGGCCGAGGGCCCTCCATCTGAGTCCACAGCTTGGTGGCCCAGGAGGGCCAAGCGTGTTTTAGTCCGAGGCCAGGGGCTGGAGAACCAGGGGGTCCGAGGTCCGGGGCTGGGAAAAGAGGGGCGTCCCAGCTCAGGAAGAGAGAATTTGCCCTCCTGCTGCCTTTTTGTTCCACTTGTGCTGCTGTGGACCGGATGATGCCCACGCTGGTGAGGGCAGACTCTCGCCTCCTGAATCCACTTTTCTCTCAGAAACATTTGCACAGACACACCCAGAAATGTCTTACCAGCTGTCTGGGGTCCCTCAGCCCAGTCAAGCTGACACCTAAAATGAACATCACAGCACCCTTCTGTGCCTGCTTCTCTCCCTGAGCGCCGTGCTCTCAGGGGCCGTCCACGTGGGAGCAGGTGTCAGGGCTGCTCTGCTTTTCATGGCTGAGTCATGTTCCGTGTGTGGAGGGACCTCGTTTGCATATCTTCGGTTGATGGACACGAGGTCGTTTCTGCTTTTTGAGCCCCTTGAATCTTGACAAGCCTTACCTGACCTTGCAGGTGGTGCTGCTCCCCGACCCCCTGCCCCACCAGGGCTGAGAATGGAGGGTGGAGAGGCTCCCCATCTGCTCAGTCAGTAGCCGCCAGCCCCAGGGGCCAGTGCAGCCAAAGAAACGTTTAATTGGTTCTAACCGATTTGAACTCCTGCAGCCACATGTGGCTGGTGGCGGTCCTGCTGGAGTGTTCTAGAAATTTGCTAGTTGGTCCCTCTGCTGCAGCCGATCTTGCTGCCTCTTCTCTGACCAGGAGCTCCCAGCTTGTCGTGGGGCATCACGGCCTCGGGTCACCCCCGGCTCCCTCCCTCTCATACCTGGTGGATCCTGAGTTCAAGCAGCTCAAGGGCTTCTGTAGCCATTGTTTGTCTCCCTGTAGGGGACAGAGGGACAGAGGCCAGGAGTCTGGATGAGCTTGTAGGTGAAAGAGGAGAGGACACAGGGCTGGGCCACATGGGCCAGGACTGCCTGGACCAGAGGGGAATCTGGTCTTCAGGGCAGTGTGGCCGACGGCTGCTGCCCCCGTCATCCTGGACCTCCGGTACCAGCCACCTCGCACAGCAGAGGGGACTCTGCAGGTGGGGTTAAGTTCAGTTCCCCGGGATGGGGGTGACCCTGGATCCTGAGGGACCCCGTGCCATCACAGGGTCCTCATAGAAGGAGACGGGGGATGCTGCGCTGCTGGCGGTGAGGATGGAGGGAGGGGCCGCGAGCCAGGGATGCGGCGCCTCTAGAAGCTGGAAGAGGCAGGAGCCGCTTCTCCCTGGAGCCTCCAGAGGGACCAGCCCTGCCCAGGCCTGGGTTGAGCCCCGTGGGGCCCGAGCTGGACTCCTGACTCCAAAGCCGTGTTGTTTCCACCACTCCATCAATGGTGACGTTACAGCAGCCCCAGGAGATGCAGGGGCGTCCCAGAGGGCCAAGCAGAGCACAGTGAGGGGTAGGTCAGAAACTCCTGGCTCCCCTTGGACTGGGGCCGCAGCGCACCAGTTAAAGGACACAGGCGGGTGGCCAGTGGCTCAGAAACCCAGCTGCCCAGCAGGTGGCACTGGAGGCGCTGGAGCTGCGCTGCTGGTGGGGGACTCTGTGGAGAAAATTCAGGAGAGCCTGGAGCTGGGGAAGTGGCAGCGCGGAGGGCTTTATGGCGGGCAGGGGGCACCTACCCATCAGCCAGGCGCTGAGCCACCCAGGAGCCTGGCCACGCCCCACCTTCCGGGGTCCCGAGGTCAGTGGCCACTCAGTCTCGCAGTGGCCGGAGGCTGGGCCTGGTTAGCTGCGTGGGCACTGGAGTCAGGGAGACCCAAGGTCTCAGCCAGACCTGGCCTCTTCCCAGTTGGTGGCCCAGGCAAAGTGCTGAAATGAGCCTGCCCTCCCCTGTAGAAACTGAGGCTAATTCTGGTGGGCAGGGCTGCCTATAGAGACAACACACATGGAAGGGCCACTGGAGGGTGGGAGCAAGACAGAGACCCCCCATTCAGTGGGGGGAAGGGATCCTGGCAACCAAGGCCCTGAGCAGCTGTGGATGGGGGTCCAGGCAGCCGGGGAGGGGCTGTACCCCCTGGGTAGGGCAGACCCTCTGCTGCCTGCAGACTCTGGCCAGGGTGGCTGGTGGGGTGAGGGGCCAGGGTCCTCCCAGCTCGTGGCCCCAGCCTTTAGGGTGGGATAAAAGTCTGCAGTGACCACTGGGCCAGGAGTGGCAGAGAGGGGACCGGTGTGGCTGATGTCCTCAGGACCCCTCCCCAGTCACTGTCAGCAGTGGCCCAGGGGGCCCCAGGGTCTGAGGGCAGGAGGCTCCTTGGGAGCCCGCCTGGGGGCTGCAGGCCCAGCTCAGCTGCCCCCGCCCCAGGCCCCAAGTTGGGCTGGAGGCGTCCCTCTGCTGGGCACCTGGCACAGACCCCACCCCGGAGACCTAGGACGGGTCCTCGTCTCTCAGGAGGCAGGGGGCCTCCAAAGGAGCCCAGGAGCCTGTAGACCTGGCTTGCAAGCCAACACCGCTGTCTACCCTTCCCCGCTGGAGAGGTCAACCCCCCACCATCCCCTTCTGTCCTCCAGCCCAGTGCAAGAAAGTCCCTGGCACCGACAAAAAGCTCGGGATTCTGATAAACCGAGACCCCAGACCACACTGCAGGACGTGTTTTATTCGGCGCTGCACACAGGGGCCTCCCGCGGCTCCACCAGGCTCCCCCTCAGTGCTGCAGCCTGGGCCGAGGGGCCTTCCTGGGGTCGTGGCAGCCCGGCCCTGGATGGGTACTGCAGCCCCAAAGGCCAGCGCTCAGTCCTAGGGGCTTTGTGCTTTGGGAGGATGCGGTCAGCCCGACCTTCCAGGCCAGTGTCCTTGGAGGGAGGGGCAAGCCACAGCCCCGAGGTGCTCCCACTGTCACCCTGCCTGGCAGGCTCACCGCAGCACAGGGTGTCTGGTCAAAGGAGGCAGCGACTTGGGCCCCTCCCAGCAGTACGGCTGCAGGGCTGCTGGGCACTGGGGATGCACTGGCAATGCACTGGCCCACAGCTTGTGTCTTTGGGCCAATGGAGTGCCAGGGCCACCCCAAGGGCATCCTGGGACCGAGGGGAGGGTGCTGGCCCAGGCTCCACTCAGAGCAGTGGACACCCCCCTCACCAGGGGCACTTGGCGCTGGGGGGGGGCAGCACGTCCCCGACGGCCTCCCTGCCCAACGTTCCGCGGAGGCTGCTCCCTGGGCCCCAGGCAGCATGAGGCCCCAAGCCCACCAGCTGGGCACCACTGGTCCTGCCCTCCCAGGCAAAGCTGAGGCTTGGAGGCTGGTGGGCGGCAGCGCTGCCGCGGAGCCCTGGCCCAGCGAGTCCGGCCACCAGTGCTCCTGGCCGCAAGCAGTTCGTCCAGGGCACTGACCCTCAGGCAGCGCCAGCCTGGCTGCAGACTGAGATTTTCAGGCTCAAAGGCCAAGGTCCTGTCCGTGTGCAGCAAACACAGAAGCTTAAGTAGCCACGTGGACGTCCAGCCTCGTTTGTACCACGGGTTTATTGAAGGAAAACGTCTGGGTTGTGCCGTTTGCTTTCGGGTACTCTCCGAGTCGCCATGGCTCTGCCCAGCTCGGGGCACCGGAGAGCCATCCTGCACCCTCTCCTGAAGGGTGGACACGTGGTCCGGAACATCATCCATCACGTGCACAGGTCGGAAGTGAGACCGTTCCAGAAAATGTTTCCCCAGGCCCATGGGGAACCTCGCAGGCTGCCCGGTGGCAGTGGCTGCGGGGACCAGGCTGGCCTGAGCCTGGCGTGGAGCAACTGGTGCCTACAGACCTGGCCCCTTCAGAGCAACACAGCCGTGGGGGCCTGGCAGGTTAGAGACCGTCCTTCAGCCGCGCCCCCGAGGCCTGGCGGGGAGGGCACGCCTGGGCAGGGCAAGGAGGGGCCGGGCCAGCGAGCCTGGTCCCAACTCAGGAGGGCCGAGCCTGCAGGCGGCCCAACGCAGGCAGGGCAGGGCGGGGCAGGCTCTGCGGAGACAGGAGAGGGCGCCGTCAGTGCCTGACCAGGCCTGTCCTCCAAGGAGACCAGAGCTCTCATGGAGGTGCCCGGACCAGCCCTGACCCCTGCGGTCACTGCCAAGCACCTGCTCTAGACGTGCTCCATCTCCTGGTCCTGGTCCGGCTCCTCCTCCTCATCCTCCTCCTCATCCTCCTCCTCATCGTCGGCGCCCACCTTATCCAGCGGTGCCTCCCCGTCCCGGGCCAGCTCCTCCACATGGGCCAGCATGTCGGCCATCAGTGCCTCCTCCAGCCGCTTGCGGACCTGCTGCACCAGCTCCTCCTGCTTCCTGGGGATGCACGGACCCGCTTGACAGGGCACCTCCCCGTCTCCAGGGAGACCAGGGCGCAAGGCCAGGATGCAAGGACGTGCAGACACACAGGGCCAGTACCTCTCAGAGCCCCACTTCTCCATCTGGCGTGGCCTTCTGGACGGCGCACCCCACCTCCGCCAGGCCGAACCCCAGACCTCCCCACCCCCGTCAGCCGCTGTCCCTGGTCGAGGCTGGTGCCTGTGATGCCCGAGGGGGTTTGCAAAGAAAAAAGACAAGCGAATGTCGAGCCCTCAAGTCTAGCCAGAGCACCTCTCGTCCTGGGGTGATGGGTCCTCATAGGAGAGATGAGCTGTCCCTGCTTCTGTTTTCTGTCACCGAGGCCGAGAGAGCTGCCATCAGCCTAGTCAGTGAGACCGCTGGGCCCCCGCCCTGCAGCCTCACGCCGTGGACCTGACGTCTGTGTCTGTGCCGGCCTGGCCCTCCCGTCAGCCCTGTGCGGGCCCTGCCCGCTGCACCCATCTTCCTCCAGACCTGGGCCTGCACATTTCAATTCAGGGCCGCTTCTATTCCGAGGGTTTCGGTGCAGCTCTAACGACCCATCCTGGCCTCCTTCCTTATGCTCTCAACGCCCTCTCCTGCCCTTTCCCTTGGGATGAGCTATCAGGGGTGTGGTCTCAGCCCGGTGCCCTCACCTCCCAGGGCCCCGCCCCGCCCCGCCCTAATGCCCCTGCACAGGGTGCCAGAGCCACACCTCTTGATCTCAGCAGGGCACCAAGGGCTCCAGAGCCCAACAGGACACGCATCCCACCATCCCGGTGCTCCTAGACGCCTCCTGCCCAGAGCCAGTTCCTGCCACCTTCCGCAAGCCCTCCCCAGACGGCTCCATTTGCACCTGGACGCCACCCACAGGGTCCTGCCCAGTGCAGGCCCAGCACCCAGGCCCGGGGCACGTACCACTTCCCCCGACCCCACCCTCCCTGTTCCTGCACGACCTCCAGGCTCCCCAGTCCTCCTCAAGGCCTCACGTGCCCCAAGGGTGGGCTTGACCCTCACAGAGCCTGGCACAGGCGACCCACCCACGTGGAGAGCACTGCCCACTGCCAAGAACCCTGCCGCAGCGAGGCTGCCTCAGCCCTGAAGGTGTCTGCCAGACTGAACTGAGTCCTTGTCATGAAGGCAGCGCCTAGCAGACGCTTCTCTGCAGCCCTGGCCACTGTACACCCTGGACACGTTGGAGGGGCCCAATGGTGGGGAGACCCCTGGGCACAAGCCCGGGGGAGGGAGGCAGGGAGGGTGGGTGCTACCTGATGTCCTCGTCAGTCACCATGAAGGCCTTGCAGAGCGGCTGGGCTGTGTTGAGCCACACCCCGGGGTTCTTCTCCACGGCGGCCGAGAGCTGCCCGGTGATGGGCATGGTGCTGGTATGCAGGGCACTGGCGATAGCCGAGAGCAGCGTCTCATCCGTGCAGCCGGGCCCCACGCCTGCTGCGGCATGGGAGGGTGGTCACCGGGGCGCCCGCCCTGCTCCCTTAGCCCCAGACTCCACGCCATAGCCCCTTTAGGAGTGGGCCTGCAGTCACTCCCACGAGGCACCAGCCCTGAGTTCCCAGTGATGGCAGGGCTGTTTTCACAGCACAGAAGCAGGACCAGACCCCCGCGTCTTTTCAGGGCCCTGAGACCCACCCCGTCCTGCTGGTTCACCGCCACCAGCCATGGGGTTGACCCTGCACCATCTGCAGGGTCAGTGCTCACCAGCTGGTCCCAGGCTAGAGGGAGCAGGGGCACCTCGCCCTTGCTGACCTCTGCCCCTGTCTCTCCCTGTGGCCCAGCTTATTAATGGTCACTCTTCTGGCCTCAGACGCCCACCCTACGCCACTGCCCTGGGCAGCCAGGTCACCTTGCAAACCCTTGGGGAGGTCCATGGTTTTCACCAGCTCCTCTGCAATGTCGAAGGCATTCAAGCCGCTCAGCTTCTTCTCCCAGAAGAGCTGCAGCGACACAGACAGGTGTGAGGCTGACAAGATGGCCAGGCTGCCTGCCCTGTGTGACCTCTGACCCTATACTCCCTGGGGCTGCTCACAGCCCTGACCAGGAAACAGGGGTGCACAGGGCCCAGGGGCCATCACAGCTGGGCCACCCAGGCGGAGGAGTGCCAGCCTGTTTCTGGCAGGACGAAGACCCAGGACCAGCCTTGCTGCCAGGTGGCTTGGGGTTCCCCTTCACCTTGAAGTTGAGGGTTTGCAGGTCCCACCTCGACCCTGGGCCGAGCCACTGTCCACGACCACCACCTGATGCCACAGGGGGCCCCGGAGCCCCTGGAAGGTGCGACAAGCCCACAGCCTCAGGCTTCGCCCTGAGACCTCGGGGAGAGAATCTAAGGGGGGGATTACTCAATGGGGGGACAGGCAGAGGCAGGTGCATGGGTTTCTGGACAGTTACCTAGCATCCCACACCCTGCCGCCTCCTGGGTTCTCACAAATACACGTGGAATCAGGGGTGACTCTTGGGTTCTGAAAGGCAACTTACAGAACCACACTCGGAGAGCCTTATTAACACTCTCTCAATGAAATGGATCAGCCCATTCGACAGCCCAGCGGGCCAAAAGCAGCCCCTGTGCCCATGCCTGGTGGGCCAGCCCTGCTTCTTGTGGGACCAGGACACCCTGACCGCAGCACTGGGGCTTGGGCCCACGGACCTGGAGTGGGGCCTGCCCGCCTGGGACTGGCCAGGGCGTGCATCTGGGCCTACCTGCCGGGGCTGTTCCACGGCCTTCTGGGGGTCACTCTTCACCTTGTTGCTGGGGTGGTTGGTGATCTTGGTCACTGGCTGCTTGAAGATGGACGCGGTCTGCCTGACCGGGAGGGCCGTGTTCAGGTCGGGTTTGCCCTGGGGAGACACGCACGCTGGCACCGGTCCCTGACACACCAGGGCGGGCCTGCAGTGGGCTTTCCCGCTCAGCGAGGACACTGTGCCCCCTCGGGCTTTGGGGAACAGGCCCTATGTTCCGCAGTCACCAGCATACCCTGTGGCACCCATAGATCTGGAGGCAACACCAGGCCCAGTCTATCCGTTGACCATGACATGGCTGCGACGGGGTCACCAGGCACACACCTGTCCCCCACCCCCTGCAACCTTCTCCGCAGAGCATGGTCCTGGGGGCGCCCCGACCAGCTCTGTTCTGCTGCCAGGGCAGGGATAGGGGACAAAGTACCCCTGAACATGTGTCCCTCAGACACTGGCAGACACACCATGGCCCTGGTACCCACGTGTGGACTGGCTGTGGTTGGAGAACTGCCGCCTCCCAGGCCCCGTTGGGGGCAGGGAGCAGACCCCCAGAAGTCGGGGTGTGGGGAGGCCTGCCCGCGGTCCCTCCTGGAACAGGTGGTGGGTGCATTACCCTCTCTGCCTGCGTTTCCACAAACTGCCCAGCTTTCCTCTGCAAGCAGCTACGCTTCACCACCGGGAGAGGTCAGCCTTCCCACCGTGGTTTTGGCCAGAGCCACAGCCGGGGCAGGCTCACCTTGACCGGGTTGGGGGAGTCGTACCGCACCCTCTGCCGGCTCTTGTTCATCTTGCTCATCAGCATCTTGCCCGTGCGGAAGTCAAAGGTGCTCAGGTCCATGGAGCCCCCCAGGTACCGTGCCAGCTGTGGCTTGCTCCGAAACTTCTTCCCGCTTGGGCTGTGGACAGAGGGGCGGGTGGTGGGCAGGATGCCTGGGGCCGTCTCTGTCCCCCAACGCATCTCCCAACCTACAGAACGGTGGCGCCCAGCCCTGGGCGCCCGGCTGACACTTCTGGAACATTCCAGAAGTGGAATTAGGCTGTGTTCTTGAGAAAAGATCCAAGTATAGCAGGTATTTGAGGAACGACCCCTAACAGCGGTCTTGTGATTACAGCTTTGAGGTTCTGTCCTAGGGGCTAGGCTGTAAAATCTCACGCTAAATTTTGGGACCAGGACCCCAAAGAGCTGCCCAGGCGTGATCTGCTGGGAAAGCTTGAAAGCAGGTGTCATAAACCTAGAGAAGCAGCTCTGTGACCCTGCCTGCACTGTGGCCCAGCGCGCTCAGCTCTCTAGGAAATGACACTGGCCTCCGGCTGCTGCACGTGTTCAGTGAGCTCGGAGCTGGAAGTGACCAGCACAGGGCCCGGTAACGTTAACGACAGCTGGGCCGGGGTAACGTTAGCGACAGCTGTGCAGCCGCTTCCTTCATAACGCAGCCTGGCAGATCCGTAAACAATCAAACAGCAATTCAACCACCTCAAGTATCCTCAAGAAATCAAAACATATGTCCAAAGACACCTGATTATTCACAACAGCAGGGCTCACAACAGGCAAGTGAAAACAGCCCAAATGTCCCTCCACACACAGCAACATTATTCACTGATGAAAAGGAGAGAAGCCCTGACACTTGCTACCACGTGGATGGACCCTGAGAGCACGACGCTCAGTGAGAGAAGCAGACGCAGAAGGACACACAGTGTGTGACTCCATGGATTTGAGATGTCCAGAACAGGCCAGTCCACAGACACAGGGGGCTGCGGCTTCCTTTTGGGGTCACAGATCTTCTAATCACAAGTGGCAGCCACACAACTCCATGAACATACTGACACCAGTTAACTACACTCACTACATCTCCTGCGCTTGCATGGTGCCCAGCAGGCCTCGCGCCTGTCTAGGACATCCCTGTCACTCACAGCCTTAAGCTGAGAAGGAGCTTTGTTTTGTCGACCTCCCCTGGAAAATTTTCAGGGTGAGCCCCTAATTCAAGCAAGCGCATGCCCCCTCCAGCCCCGCAGACAAGGGATGGTAGAGGGCAGTGTGGAGCCCATCACAGCCCCACTGGACCGGGCCAGTGGCTCGGCCAGGGACCAGGCGCCCAGCACAGGCAGCCCCCACGGCTGGGGATTCGGAGCCCCTCCACCACAGCCCCAGACTCTGGTGGAAGAGCCTCTTTTCTACCACACTCTGTGCTGGCTGGTGTGACCTGAGCCGCGTGCCTGGAGCAGCAGAAAGGACCCTGGGTCCCCACTTGGCTTCAGGTTCGGCAACAGAAAGGACCCCAAGAGACACTCCTTGTGTCTTTGCCTCCAGTCCCCCTATTCGCTGCTTTTGTGCTTAAGACGATGGATGAGAACAGGGAGACAGAAATAGACTGGAGGTTAGCAGGGCTTCGGGCCAGGGAATGGGGTGCCGAGCAGTGACAGTGAAAGGTCTGGGGCTCCTCTTAGGCTGAGGAAGCTGCTCTATGGGAACAGCGGTGACGGTGTACTCAGGCAAACTGTATAGCATGTGACTCCTACCAGGACAAAGGTGTTAAAAAATGAACCCCAGACAGAAAGTGGATTGGGGGTTGCCAGGAGCCGGGGGAGGGGCTGGGGAGTGGCACTAAGGGGCACAGGGCTCATTCTGGGGCTCTGCGAATGTCCTAGAACTAGACAGCGGTGACACAACTGTGTGAACAGCCCAAAAACTGCTGAGCGGGACGCTTTTAAAGGGTGAATTGTATGTAATGTGAATTATATCTCAATTTTTAGACCAGTTTTGCAGATCTGTACTGACAGGCAGCCAGGAGCCCCAGGCCGGAGGGTGCTCTGGGCTGAGTCAGGGATGCCCTGAAGGCCTGTGGACATCAGAACCTCCCAGGCTGGAGCCTGGCTGGCCTCGGGGACGGGAGCCAGTGCTCGGCATCGAGCCCAGGGCCTGAGATGGATGCAGGACTGAAAGGCAGCCTGGGCCCCAGGAGGAAGGGGCAGTGGGTGTTGACACCCCTCCGGTCAGAAGGCTTGTCCCTTGCGCTGCCCAGTGAGACCCACACGGCAAGATGCAGCCGGTCATGGCCAAGCTGAGCCTAACTTCCCACAAGTGCTCAATTTCTTGTCCAACTGAACACACCAGGCAGGGAGACTATTTTCCCAAAGAAAATGCACAGCTGCAACCAGATGTTCCACCCCCACCTCCCAGGCCACCAGAACCTGGATCAAAACCTGAGGACCAGACTGCCCACTTGGAGAGGTGTCAGTGCCCACAGGGCGATCTGTGAGGTCACACCACATCTCCAGGGTGACAATCTTGCAAGGAACACATTTGCTCCCTCCCACTCTCTGGACCAGGACACCAAGGCTCCACAGGCTTGCAGGCAGCACTAGGACCCAAGCCAGGTCTGTCTGACTCAATGGCCTGAGACCTGCCTTCCATCCGCATTTAAGAGAACCACATGTGCTCCTGCCTAGTTGCCTGGCTCTGCAGGGTGGCCAGTGGGTGGTGAGAGGGCCAAGGACCCACTTTTCAGAAAACACCATGGGCTCCGTATCACATTTCCCTAGACCTTCCACCTGGTGGGACCGGAGGGTCACAGGTCAGACCTAGGAGTGGCACTGGACCCTGCAAGCCCCGCTCTCCTGTCTCAGACCCTCACTTCTCAGAGGAGCCATGGGAAACCTGGGATTCCATCTGTCTAGCCCGTTTGGAGCTTTTCGCTACCACTAGACCCTAATGCTCAGGGCTGGGGCCTTGGAGTGGTGTCCCACTAGGCTGAGGCCATGAGAAGCCCAGGCAGGTAGGGATGAAAGGTGGGTGATGATGGTCTGGGTTACTCCAGCCACACCGGCCTTGGCTCAGCTCCCGACCCTCTGCACAGGCTGTTTGGGATATCTGGGCGGCTCCTCCTGGATCTCCTGCCAGGGCTCTGCTCTGTCAGCACCGCAGACAGGCGCTCATTGGGCTGCCTCAGCTCAACCAGGTGCCCCCATCAGCTGCCCTCAGACTCCTGCACCCCTCCCATGTCATCACCTGTAACTGTGGGGTGACGCCTGGGGCATCAGCTGTGACCCAGGAGGGGAGGGCCCCGGTCTTCTTCCCACTGAGTGGCCAGGACCCCACACCACCAGACACTGAGCAGGTACTGCAGAGGTGTCTGTTAAGTTAACAAATAACTAGAGGCAGAAAAACCTGTCTTTAGTTCTAAAAGGAAGAAGTGAGCACACAAACGTGCTTGGAATTAAGTGAGGACAAGTGGTTCCTAGCCTGAACCTCCAAGGGCCCAGGAGAACTTTACTACAAGGACTTAAGTTTCTAAGCAGACAGCGAAGGCGTGACGTCATAGACAGCTGCAATGAAGGGGACACACAATCATGTCCCTACGAGATGCAGACTGTACTCCCTCCACCAACCCTGGAGACTAGATCCTGAGTCTATCCTGAACAGGCTGCCGTCCTTTCCCTCCTCTCAAACGGGGCTAGCAAAGGCCCAGGACCTGCTGCACAACCCCCAACACCTGGCGGGTATTCAGCACGTGGCAGGTGTCCTGCCTGCCTTCCTTTCATCAGGGTCCTGAAGCAAAGCGGAGAGAGCCATCAAAGCTGGCTAAGAAACAAAAGCATCTTCCACCAGTCAGAGAAAGAAAAAAAGGAAGGAAAAGGCAAACAGCAGGTGGCCGACATTCTGGGACTGGGCTTCCAGCTGCCTGCTAATTCTTTGTTCTATCAAGCGGGGAGCGGTCCCTGCCACCTCGCCCAGGCCAAGTGCAGCCATCCCACGTCTTGCGACTGAAGGGGCCACGACCCACTGAGAGGCGCCGGTTTCGGAACCTGCCCAAGGGTGGGGGAGGAGCGGGTCTTAAAATACACGCAGCCCCAGAGACCGGCCTCCCTGGGAAAGGCCCAGGGACCTGCATTCCTAGGCAGCGCTCCCAGCGCCCCCAGAGCAAACCCTGCTCCTCGAAACCCCGGCTCGCCACCCGCCTCAGGCTGCGCGCGACCCGGGAATGCCCCATGCGGATAAAAGGGACAGCCCAGCCCCCACCCCCGCCTCCCAGCGGCGTCTGGCCCGCACCGGGGCCCCTCGCCCAGCCGGCCGCTTCCCTGCGGCCGCCGAACAAAGGGCGCCGCCCGCCCGGAACCGAACCCAGGGTCATGCGGCCGCGCGGGGTGCGCACGCGCACTGGACTGGGCCC